AAATTCCCACTGACAAAAGGAAAAATATTTTGCAGCAGGGGCGAACAAGCCCTGCAGCAGAGTCTCTATGCCTGCAGTTTTACCCTTGCTCCAGCTTTGGACTGTCGGTGCACCAAAGTGGAGAGCAGTGTACAGATCCCCTTCCACCTTAGCACAAGGCACACAGCTGGGACCCAGGCACCTCAGTGAGTCCCTCATGCTCCTCTCAACAGTAGGAGAGGCTCTGTCCCTTCCCCACTCCATGCTAAGAAGCAAGAGGAGACTCCAGCCATGCCACCAGACATGGTGCTGCATTCCAGCACTGGCACTGGCACTGTCACCAGCCCCGTATGTGGGGTGATCTGCTCCATCAGGAAAGCATTGCCTCTGGCTGCTCCTGTGCCCAGCAAGCCAGCACTGTGGAGAAGGAAGCAGGTGGGGGCTGGTGGGCAGGAGGAGTAGCACAAACAGGATGTGCCAGCTTAACTTCAGTCAGCACCTGCTGACACTCCCAGCCAGCAGAAGTCGAGTTTAGGTGGAGGAGGATTAGTGCCATCAGCCCCTGGCTCCCCGCAGGTTTGGGGATGTAGGATGGATCTGCATCCTAATCTTTCCACCTAATCTCCTCAGGACACTGCCAGAGAGATGTCACAGCAGGGAAAATGACAGCTCCTGGTAGCTGGTGGCCAGAACTGCTCCCAGCCCAGAGCCAGCTCCTCGCTGGGGGTTGGTCTGACAGTGTGGAGCCCTCTGCAAAGAGTGGGTCCCAAAAGCAGTGCCCTGACCCACTGCAAGTGTGGAGGGTGCTGGGGGGCTGCCCAGCAACAAACCTTCACCTCCTTGCATGTTCAGTGTGTTTGACAGGTCTTGGAACTGAGGGCTGGCAAGGGGTGCTGGGACTCCTGTGCTGTGGGATTTCCTCCAGGCACTGCTGGATCCTGCACCCCATGGCAAGCAGGGGTGTCCTCAGCTGCCCCCTCCCTGGCACAAGGCTCTCCCACCTGCTGCTGGCTCCCCACTGGCTCTACACCAAGAGAAGCATGCTGAGTTGGGAATATATCCATCTGGGACTAAACTTCTTAGCCACCTCTGGCTGCAGGGGACCCCCATCCCTTGAGCTGCCCACAGCCCTGCCAACAGCATGGGCAGGAAAGGGAGGTTGTTCTTCCTCCTGACAGTTGTCAGGGAGCCCAGTGGGTCAAAGTACAGCAGCTTCACATGCCTCTGCTCCCCAGGAAGAACACCAGAGTGAGGAAAGGGGCTTTCCACTTGCATTGTGAAAGGGGAATGTGGTGGGTTTCCCCCCTCTTACTGGGGTCAATAAAATTTCTAAGAAAAGTGTGGTCATCTCTGAAGTGCATCCCTGTGGCATTCAGGAAGGTCACCCATCCCCCTTGCAGGATTGAGTCTCAGGGACCAGAAGAGGCAGTGCAGATGGGGAAGACAGGGATCTTCAGGGTACAGGGTCCCCAGAGGCACAAACAGGCAGGGGATTTGGTGGGGATGAGGAAAGAGCGTTGTTCACACTGACTCATTTAAGCCTCTTCCTGAGCAGTTAGAGAGCACTGGAGCTCCAGCCCCAGGGACACCACAGGATGCAGCAGGAAGCATCCATGAGCACTTACTCCTGCAGAAACCTCGATAATGCAGTTGTTAATTTAAGTGGAAATCCGAAGGGACTAACAATCCCTGTGGGAAATCCTACCCATCAAAATGTAAACAGACCATGTGGGTATCACCTTCACCCCTGGGCTCTCCTCAGGGAGCACTGACCATGCTGCTGCCTTCCTGGAGACCCGACAGCCACAGGAGCTGCCAGAACAGCTACTCCCCAGGCTGTTGGGTGGTGGACTGCTTTCCACCTCTGAGCTACAGAGCTGGAAAGGGCAAAGGGGGAATTTCGGCAAATTCCAGCTACAGCCAGTCCCTGGGGGTGGGATCTGGGCTGGCTGCACTCATTTCATTGGGAAATACTGGGAAAGCACTGCAGCTGCTTCAATTCCGCTTGCAACACCCAGCTCGTGGCAGCCTCACACAGCTCCCATCACATTCCCAGTCCTGGTGCAGCACAAGGCTACAGCAGCTGTGGGACTTGAACCCCACTGGGTCTCCTCTAGCTGAGTGAACACACCCAATCTGATTTAAATGGAGATAAGGGGGAAATAGCAAGTCACAGCTTTTCCCAGAAGTAGCAAAAATGAACCTGAGAATCTGGTCCAGAAGGACTCAAAAGGTTCCAATTCCTTTTCTGTCCCTAATACTCATTGTCTTCAGTGTCACTGATGTTTAGGTCACCATGAATGATGAGCAGCAGATCCAAAAAAGCCTTCAGCTGTGTCTTGCTCTACACTCCTAGGCAAGCAACCCTCTCTCTGCAACACACATGTCCCTCAGCATCACCTCTGGGCTGCATTTTCCCAGCCAGAAGCTTCCTGCAAGCAGCACCGAGATGGAAGTGACCAGGTGGGATGCCCCCAGCCTGACTCCCTGCCATCATTCTGCCTGTCCTTTCTTCAACCCTCCCTGAAAAGGGATTTCAGAGGGGATAACTGGGGACAGCTGTATAAAAAGCAGCCCATCAGGAATTTCCTTGACACACCCTGCATGGCTTGGCAGAGAAGGATGCCCGGTGAGGCTGCACACCCAGTGCACTTGTGGACAGATGTACAAGAAAAATGGGACAGAACAAACCCTTGGGGACTGCCTCACTGCTCTGTTGGCTCTTTGACAACGGGCAGGGGAGGCTGTGAAGTTCTTGGCTTGTTGCAGCTCTGGGGCAGGGCTGACATTGGCCCCAGCACAGGATATCCTCAGAGTAGAGCAGATTTTCCACAGCTGCTTTTTCACAGCCGAGGAGCAGGTCTGCAATGGGGAGACAAGGATGGGACACAAGCAGAGGGACCTTGGGTTCTGGGGAAATGGAAGGAAGAATAACAGCATGAGACACCCCAAAGCCAAGGGTCTTCAGACAGCAAAACAGAAGGTGAGAGAAGGAGGACACTTGGGAGTTACATGTAGGCAACAAAAGGGTTGAAAGGAAGCTCTGGGCTGAGCCCTCTAGGACAGCATGAGTGCCAGGGGATGGCCGGCTGGGAAATACCTTGGAGCAGGAAGAGTGAGAGCCCCTGCTGGCCACCAGCCACTTTCCCACATCCTCTCTGCTCTCAAGACCATAGCAAACCTCAGGAGAGCAGTGCTGGCAGAGAGAACACCAAAAAACACCTCGAAGCTTTGATTGGACTCCAAAGCCCCTCTAACACCCGTGCAGCCCCAAAAGCAGCCCTTGGCCTCCATAAGACTGCTGCAGCACTGGCCACTCCTGCTGCTGGGCGAGGACCTGGGATGGAGCTGATGTGCCTGTGTCCAGGTGAGCCTTGCTGGAGCTGCACCTGGCATCAGAGCCCAGAGCACTCTGCTGCTGGCACAGCCCTGGAGCATCGTCTGCACCAGCTAATGACTTGAGCTAATCATTTGGCCTGGGCTCAAGACTTTCTTGGCTGCACTTGTTTTCTGTCTCGCCTGGCTGCTCTCTGCTGTCACTGAAGCCTTTCTGTTCCAGAGTGGCTGAGCTATCCCAACTCTTTGCTCAGCTTTGCTTCATTCCCTGCAGACTGATTCTGTGTCTAAGTGGGCTTTTATACATCCCTTGCCCACCTACTACCCCAGCACATACTTGATCAACACTGCCTTATCTTTGCACACAGCGTCAGGCTTGCTCTGCCCAGGGGTACAGCTGTGTGAATCCCTTTCTGCTGCTTCACTGCTGTACCACCTTAGACCTTCTTCTTCACATCTCTTGTCCCAGCTGGGGTCCATGGATCCAGCTCCTTCCAAAGAAGGAATTTTGGTGCCCACTGAGTGCTGCAGGTCGCAGCTCATTACTTCTCACAGGGAATTTCCTTGGAGGTGTTTCCCTGCTGCCATCTCACTGCAGCAGCACTCTGACCACCTGCTTCACACCTGCCTCGAGACGCTCCCAGTAGCCCTGCCACCTTCTTTTCCTGGAAAGCAGCATTCAGCAGTAAATCTGGAAGGAGAGGGCAAACACCTGTGTGCGTGCAGGCTCAGGCACATGTGGGCTGACATTTGTGCATCTGTGCCCATGCTCACCTGTGCCTTCCTGAGCAAAGGACAAGCTCCCGTGTGCTTCCAGATCCTGGTTTTTTCGTAAGTTCTAGGGCAAATTAGAACACCACTGCTGGCATATCTTTTTAACCTGTTTTAGCCAAATGTCCTCCTCACATTTGAAAGGAAAAAGCCCTCCTTAAGTGGTGTTTTGTTCCACAGGCACAGAAGCATCAGGGCACATTTCACATGCTGGTTCGTTCCTACCATATTCTCATGCTTAGCTGTTTGTGGTTTCAGATGTCTTCGTCTAGACCTCATTTCTAGAGAAATTTTGCAACCATTTCACAATCCCCTGACACTACAACCACCACAAGGAGTTCATCAGAGGCAGGGCCACTGGATGCAGTGTGTCCTCATCAAACATAGGGCTGCCTCCAGCCCTCCCATGGCACCCCCACCTCACTCCTTGTGTGCAGGCGTCAGTTCCCAGGCTCCCAGCAAAGCCCAGGCCACAGCATAGCCTCATGAATAACCTGTTTTGCTGCTGTTATCCCAAAGCAGCAAGGAGCACAGAGCCCCTGCTTTGAACAAGCAGTTCACATCCAGGATGGGTCAGAGTCAGAGGGACAGGCTCAGCCGTGAGAAAAGATGCTGTGTCCAAACCAGCGTTGTGCCCATGTTCTCTGGCACTTCAGAACCTCTCACTGGGGACAGATGAGCAACCAGGATGTCTCCACCTCTCCACCTTGCTGGGAAACACAGCTACAAGAGACGGGACTTGCATTGCCCCCCCCGTGCCAGCAGCTCCCAGCCTGACACCCCAGGGATACATCTCTTGGGAGCACCTCAAAAGCCTGGACCTGGGGGACAATGGTGAGTGGGGCAGGAGAGCACCCTGCCATGCAGCCCTTCCCACCCCACCAAAGCCCATCACAGCAGCCAGAACAAAAGAGTTTGGTTATAAAGAATATATTTTATTGCCACACATCCTGTCCAAAAACTGGTCTGGCAGACGGCCGGGTGTTCAGTGTGGAGGAGGAGACAGCTCAGCGCCTGTCCCATGCTCAGGGCCAGTATCTTGGACTTCACAGTTACTTTACACAGCCTTAAAATGATAGACCTAAATGCCCTATTAATAAAGCAATCAAGCCAGATACATACTTGGTAGAAACACTCAGCTATAAGCTTTACTCCAACAAACACACCGCCCGTGCTGATACTGTTAAGCTCTGCAAATCCTATTATTGCGTTTATATGATTTAATAGACCTTTACTGACCAAAGTCCACGTTCAAAATCTCTGCAAGCAGATAGCAGTGTGGCTCTTGCACAGCTGTTTAATTTGCTTCTTCTCAGCATGCTGGGGAGAGCAGGTTGCAGGCACAGGGAGATGCCATTTTCCCCCTAGCCCTGTCCCAAGGGTCTGTCCCACCTCCACTTGCAGTCTCACCTAAAGGTGTCCTCTACTCAGTGACTTCTCTCACAAAAATTTTGGGGTAGAGCCACTCTCAAACGGCTGCAGGATGTCTACGGTGAATTTTACAAAATCTGCTATTCCCCCACCTTCACAGCTTCACATGTGTTTTTCACCATATGGGCTTTTCAGATTTCGTAAATATATATGAGAGAGTTGCTGTTGGTTTTGGTTTTTTTTTACTCCCAGAAAACTAAGCATTTGTCTTAATAGTGTCTGAAGCCCTGACACAAGCAAAGCCAGGGGAAAGAAGAGGGTAAAATTCCACTAAACTGAACAATTTGTTCTGATTTCATTGCAATTTTGTAGCCAGGGGAGCTAAAAGGGTATAATTCTACTAAATTGAACAATTACTTCTGATTTCATGGAAATGTTGTGCCTAAAAAAGAAAATGAAAAAAAACAGAGGGACAAATTGTGGCTATCTTTATACAAACTACAATGCAACAGTGTACCATAAAACCTGAAAGATTAGAACAGGCCAGACACAGAGCCACACTGTTACCCCAAAACTCTCCATCTCAGCTCTGTTAATTGCTCTGCAAAGAAGCACCCAGCAAGCAGCTCAAGTAGGACCACGGGATTTGGGACCTGCCTGGTTCCCCACACCTTGCAAGCCAAGAAGGAGCAAAGAGATGAGAGGAAAATAAAATGCGGCCATGGTTTATTTGGTAGAAAAATAAGATAAATCTTCCAGAAAACCCAGCCTGCAGCATAAAGGCTACTTTGTGAAGCATAAGGAGAGAGAAGTAAAGCCTTTCAGGAAGACTGAATGAAAGCACAGTTTTCAAATATAAATACAAATGTATAATATCCCCCAAAAAAAGTCATAGGAAAGGCGTCCATCCTGCTAGGCTAAATAACTCTCCTTTAGTGGGAAGCATGTCTACTTCCCTCTAGAGGCCATGGCTCAGCTCCCACGCCCAGGTCCCCACTTATCTGGCCCTGGGACGGGTGAGGACCTGGGTGCCTGCCTTGCTGAGAGCACCCAGGCACTGCAGGTGCTGGGGGATCTCTGTGTCAGGCATAGCAGCAACAAAGAGGTTGTGGGGCAGAGGGAATCCTCCTCAGCCTGCCCCATCCCCGCCCTGGGGCTGGCGGGTGGGTGGGTGTGTGGTTTGTGCGTGTCCATTGCCTTTGCCGGGCCGTGGGTCAGTCACCAGTGGGAAGGCATCCGTCCTAACAAAGGCAAGGAGCAGGGCATGAGATGGAGAGGGTCTCAGCCACACCATCCACCCCAGCCAGGGGCCATTCCCCAGAGTGACCTGCCCTGCCCGTGCCCAAGCATTGCCTTGTCCCAGCAGCTCCAGAAACAAATTTACTTTCAAGGCAAGCACAAACCAGGAGAGAGTTGTTCCCTAAGGGCCTTTGCGCTCCAGCCATGGCTCTGACAGCTCTCCCAGGCTTTGCACCAGGGGCTGAATGCCCGCCCTCCCACACAGAAGGATCTAGAATGGGGTGCAGCACCCTCACTCAGCCCCCTCACCTACCTGTTCAGGCCTGGCTTAGGCCCGCTGCCGCCTCTGCTTCTTGGGTCTGCCCCTGGGACGCTGCCCCTTCTTTCTGCTCTTGTCATTCTTGTCCTTCTTGTTCAGCTGCTGCATCAGCTTCTGGACAGTGTCATCATCGGGAGAGGCGCAGATTTTCCTGTTCTTCTTGGTGATGAGCCTGGGGAGCAGCAGAGAGGTTTTCTGGGGGGGAGCAGAGGGAGGACAGGGAAGGATTTGCCTGAAGCCAAACTGTTCCAAGTGGTCCTGGCCACCACAGGGTACTCACACAACAGAATGAAGGTAACATCCCGACTCGGGTCCCTGGAGGCGGTAGGATGTCACCACGCCACTGATTTCCTTCTTCAAAGGTCTGTTCTTCAGGCAGCAGTCCAAGGCTGAGCTTCCAATGCCTGTGAGCGAGGAGGGAATGTGGGATTTGGGATCGCCAGTGAGCCAGGACACCTTCAGCACAGAATGCCAGCTGACAGCATAGGGCTTGTTTGGTGTCACGGGTTGGGGGTGATCCTGGGCACCAGGTGGGGTTGGAAGCTCTGAACCCCAATGCCCAGGTCAGACCTGGCCCCAGGAATACGAGACACCACATCCAAGGCTGGTGGCGGGGAAACTGAGGCAGAGAGGGGCTCCTTGAAAAGGTACTGAACACTGTTCCCCTGTTCTTTTCACCTTGGGGTGCTGCTGCCCCACCAGCCACATGCACACAGACACACTCCAAGCTGAGCAAGCCCTGCAAGCCCATGCCACAGGCACACACAGCCCAGAGCCCTACACACACCCGCACACCCCGCACGCCAGTGCACTGCAAACACCACCCTCAGCACCCTGTGCACACCCCGCTGAGCATCCCACACCCTGCCCCATCCCAGCAGGAGCAGGCAGGAGGGCTCCTCGCCCCTCACCTTGAGCCTGGCTGATGAGCAGGGTGGCAGCCAGCAGCAGCAGCAGCATCAGGAAGGGGCGGAGAGCCATGGTGCTGCCACGGTCACGGAGCAGGACGAGGCTTGAGGCTCGGGAGCAGGACACGCACTGCTGCCTCGTGCTGGGGCTGCTCCTATTTATCTGTGGATTCCTTGCTTTCGTTTTCGGAGAGCCTGGCAGGCAGCCCACCAGCCGGCCAAGGGCTGGGTGATGCAGAAGTAGAGGGTGGGGGATTCCTGTAAGCTGCAAGCCCCCCTTTACAGACACGTCCTGTCTTGTTCCCAGCTGCCCATCACGGTGTGGGGCACCAGGTAGGGGACACACTGGAGATACAGCTCCCATCACAGCTGGATGAGTTTGTGGGCTCCAGTTTCCTACACAGTCTCACAACCTGCCACTACCTGCTCTCAGAGGGTCGGGTGTTTGTTCCCATGAAATGGATCCTGGAAGGTGGCCAAGCCTTCAAAGAAACCAAGGACTCAACCTGTTTTGCCCCCCCATTTGGTGATTTGCTTCCAAGCCAAACCACCAACACAAACAGCAGGTGAGAAGTGGCTCGGGGGGAGCCCACACCCCTTTCCCCTGAGCCCCCATCCGAGTCTGGCTGTCCTGGGGAGGACCCCAGCTGAACAGAGCTGAGTACAGCTGTAGGGCTGGGATGTGTGAGAGCTAGACTGCAATGGGGCTGAGGAAAACAGCACAGCCCATCATATTTTGGTGCTGACATCAAATTGTGGGGAGCTGGGGTGAGTGGGGACCTTGACAAGATGAAGGAATGTGCTGACAAGCATATGGAAACCCACAGCAGCATGACACAGCCCTGTGCAGCTGGACATAGCTGGACACATGGGGACTACACAGAAGTGAGCCCAGAGAGCTGAACAGGACCCCACAGGAAATTCCTGTGGTGACAAAAGCCATCCAAAGAGATGGCCTTTGTTACTGGACCAAGCCCTGAGCAACTAGTGTGACACCAGTCCTGCTGTGGGGAAAGGACAGTCAGAAATATTTCAGGTAATCGCCAGAGCATGGTCTGGAAGAGAACAAGGTTGGTGGTTTCACAAGTGCTTTGGGCCACCTGTTCCAGTGCTTGATACATCCCCAAGTTGAAAACACTTCCCCCACCATTTAATTGGCATTTTCTGTGATGTGTCTGGTGTCTCTGCTTCTCTCCCTGCTGCAGAGCCCCTCTGAGAAGAGATGATGTCCCACCACCACTCCAGCCCCCCTGGACAACCCCCAGCAGCAAATCCCCCTTACCATCCTTCACCACACACTGCTAGCAGCCCCTCTTCCCTCACCCTGGCCTCCAGCTCCTTGGACAGCTCCTGTGCCAGTGCTCATGCCAACTGGGTGTGGGAGCCCCAGTGGAATGGGCAGCTCTCATGGAATCTAACCAGTGATAGTGACGGCCAAACCCCTTTGAGGGCTCTGCTGCCTGGGAGCTGGGTTGTAACACCAGGACCTTCCAGCAGTTTCTGTTAATAACCCTGATAAACAGTCATCAAGGACAATGAGTAGCCCAGGAGAAGACCAAAGTCCCAGCTGCTGCAGAAAGCAGAGCTGTGTAAGGTGCCCACTCCCTTCTTCCCCTCAGGAGGGAGAAGGCAATGCTGGAGTCATGCCAGCCAGGAGACCAGCATTCCTCTGGGACAGCCTGGGGCAGTGTGCCAGGGCTGCACTCCTGGGGCTTCCTCCATCCCTCACGCATGGAGATCCCATCCAGGGGGTACCCAGGTGCACAGAAAGGGGGAGGCAAATCCCCACACACTTGTGCAGCACAGAGGCTGCTGTGGAGTCGGGCAGCAGGGCCTGAGGCAAGCAGCAGGTTGGGCAGTAGCAGGTTGTCTGCAGGTGCATCTCCCCAGGGTATTTGGCAGCATGGGGAAGGAGTTCCCAGAGGCATCCTGTGTGCTGTCACCCATCCCCCTAATCCCAAAGCACTGGTGGCATCAGGACAGGGCAGAAAAAGGAGAGCCGTGCTGGTACTTAGTGCCTTTCCAGCCCTTCCTTGTGCAGCCTCCCCAGACAGCAGTGCCTGGGTGCTCACAAAGTAGCCCAGGGGAGCTCTGCAGTCCCAGCACAGAGCCCAGATTCCTTCCTTGCCCAGTCTATGTCCCACTAAGGCAGCAAGCTCCTGGAAAGTCCCTGGCTCTCTGAGTGTTTTGAAGACACCGCAGCAGCAACCTCTGGCCAGAGGCCAGCCCCAAACACGGTCAGGGCACGTGCTTCCCTTGCCAGAGGCATCAGTCTTTGGCAATTCCCTGTTGCTGTGACTTGCACCTCTAACAAAGCATGTGGATGAGCAGACTCTCACTCTTTCCAGGGAAGGTGGTTGGAGAGGTCCCAGGAGGGAAAGGGGCACTTGGAAATTGTGGACACATCTGCATGCTTGAGCAGCAGGGCCCCTTGGAAGTCAGTCTGGGGGTCCACAGCTTGTCTCCCCTTCTGCCTCCCTTCCCTCAGACCATCCCCCTTCAGTCCTTCCTCTTGATGTGCCTTACTCTGTCACGTGTTCCCCCAGCCCAAGGAGAAAGAAGGGAGCTTCTGGCAATGAGAGATGAGTGAGCATCCCTGTTTGCAGGGATGACCAAACTTTTGGGATACAGAGGAACTGACAGTGGTGGGGGTGGAGACGAGGACTCTTAGGGGTCTCAAATACGCCAGCACCCTCCAGCAGCTGGCCAGGCACAATTTCCTGCACATAACCCATTCTTCATTTACCTGGGCTCCTGCAGTCACCACCTTTTTCCATAGCTCATAGGTGCAGGATGGAGGCAGACACAGGGAAGGCAGGATGCCCTCTGAGGTGTCTCAGCTACAGGGAATTCCTCTCTGGCCACAGGATCTGTGTCTGACACTGTACAGAGCCATTGCAACAAGACTTTGTACGATGATGCCTCCAGCTACCCCCATGCTCTGGCAGCCCAGCTCCAGCCCTTTGCATCCCTATTTGGAGGAACCTCCACAGTGTATGAAGAGGGGAGGGTGTCCTAGGCAGAGACTGTGGTGCCCCCACACACAGAGTGCACAGAAACAGTGGGAGCATAGCAAAGGTCACTTCACTGCCTTGCTCATGATCCCGTCCCAGGCAGTGAAACCACCACAGCTCTCTCAAGCCTCCATCCCAAATTCTTCCCAAGTTTGCACCCTGCACCAGCGCACCAGAGCTCCAGGGCCTGGAGTTCATCTGTGGATTACTCCCCTGGTTTCTAGCATCACCGTTTCCTAGCATCTCAACCCACACTGCCAGGAGATCCATTCTGCTGAGCACTCAGCCCTCTGCTCATCCACTCCTGGGCTGACCATCAGCACTGGAGAAGCCTCCAGCTCTGTCCCACTTAGCCAGACTGCAGGGTCTGCTTCCCAGGCAGCTCAGGGAGCAGAGGTTCCTCCAACTGAAGGCCTCAAGAGGGGCCAACCAATGGGACTGGGAATTTCCAAACCCTTGTGGATGCTGCCTCCGAGTTACAGTCACTGCTGGCAGGAACAGGGTCGCACAGCTCAGTTCAACCCTCTGACCAGCACATTCCTTCCTGCAGAGGCCCCGATTCCCAGGACCCAGCAGAGAGGTAGTTTGCAAAGTGGAAAACCCCCGTGTCTGGGAAGGGTAGCCGGCTGCCAGGCACAACGTATAGAAATGTCAAAGAGCGACACATTCCTTGGGATGCGGGAAATAATTGCTGGAAGCCGGCGGCACACGAGCCGGGCAGGCTGCCTGCTGGCTGCTGCGCCGGCCTTCAGCCAGGCCAATGGGAAGAGCAGGATAAGCACAACATGCTGAGAAGGGCAAGGAAACAGCTCCTCGGGAGCGCACGGGTGCTGAAGCCAGCTGGGCTGGGAGAGGGTCTTCAGCCTTGAAAAGTTTGCCCCACACACACTCTTCATTTCCCCAGATGAAAATTTGATTTCCCAGCCTGGTGCAGGTTAACCTTTGTTTGCTAGCATGACTGCAAGAGTGCCTCAGTGGTTTAAGGCAGAGTGCTGAAAATGTTCAGGGGCTAAGTGAACAGGATGAGAGGGACCTGGGCAGATCCTGCACCCTGGAGCAGTGCTATCTTCCCTCTGCAGGGTGTGCAGTGCTGCACACAGTGCTTGCTCAGACTCAAAATCAAGGGAAAGGGCAAGTTTTGTGTCCCCATGGAAAATGCATGGTCAGGATTGCTCAGTTATCAGCTCCCCTCATCGAGGCACATGGGATCCTTTGGACTGTGGCTGTTGTGAGTGTGCACTATGCCACCAGAACATATAGGGGAGATAGCTCAGAGCCTGTCCCTCTGTGGCATGGTGGAGACATCCATGGGGTGGCCAAGAATTTTGTGGGAAAGGGGACAAGGCAGAGAGTGGGAGACACTTCCAGGAAGAGATGTTTAACTGCTTAACAATCCTCCAAACACAGTGTCCCTCTCAGCTAGTCCTCATCCCTTCCACCAACCACAGGTACAGCCCTATCTCTTCCATCAACACGGGAAGCACAACACTCCATCCAGAAATCCCACGGGTCCTCGTATGGAAGCATAAAACTCAGTGAAAACTACTGGGAGCAGCCCAGCCTTCAGTGAGAGGGGAGATGTAAGGATCCTCTCACGGCAGAGCGAGCAGCGGCTTCCGCAGCGGGGCACGGAGTGTGCCAGCCAAGAGGGAGCTCTGGGCCCTGGGAGATGGGAGAGCTGCACAGGCACTGTCCAGGATGGATGGTGCCAGCCGAGAGGGAGCTCTGGGCCCTGGGAGATGGGAGAGCTGCACAGGCACTGTCCAGGATGGATGGTGCGAAGGCATCGCTCTGGCGTGTGAATTCACAGAGACTTGAGAAGCTGCTGGGAAAAAAAAAGAAAAAAAAAAAAGCTGTCTGAGTGTTTTTGGAGAGGAAACTGCTCCTTCTCTCTTGGGGTGTCGGACTCTGACACCAGCCTCGCTGCAGATGCCCGGCAGCCCTCTCTGCCCCACGCTTCTGGCACGAGCCCACCTCCCTGTGAGCTTGGACCAGAGGAAATAGCAGCTGACACATTCAGTGAATTCATCAGTGGGGCTGGAGGAGGGCTGTGTGTGTGGAAACAGAGGAATTAAAGACAGCCAAAGGGAAATGAACCAAAACATCGAGAAGGCTCTGGAGATTTTGCAGAAGACATTACAGCAA